AAACTTGATACTATTTTATTTTTTTGGTTATCTTCCTAAGTGAGTCAATTATTTATAGCTTTTTCATGGGACATACAACATATATGCAACTTTTAAAACCTAAAAAGAATATGCATGCAGTTACTCATAAGAATGAAATTTATGTAAAAAAACATCACAGCTATTACAAATTAGCACATCTTTGTTTTTACCAATTGCCTCTCTTCTCATTCACTTCCCTTCTTCTCTTCCTTGGCTCTTGTCATCATCATCTTCATCTGTATTTTCATCATCATCCTCTATATTCTCCTCAATAAATCCATCAACATTTTTAAATGCAACCTCAATATTATATTGGTTAGCCATCAGATATATATCAACAATATACTATATAAATTTTAAGTTATCTTCTTAATGATCAACATCTAAATACTTTTTATACCAACCCTGCCTCTTGGCTTAATCTTAATCACCATCTATCAATACACTTTTGTGAAAATTAAATGATCAAATTTAGCATATTTTATCTTATGTCGTATCTTGATAATTTTTTACTGCTAATGCATTCTTGTGCTTTGATTCGGTAAGAGATCAAATCATTCATAATTGAAAATAAATAAATTTTCTTATATTCTCCATACTGTGTTGGAATAATGTAGCATTAGACATCTTGATTTTATGGTAGTGTGTTTCTTTTATTATATGCACTCAACTATTCTTTATCTTCCTCTCTTAACTCCGCAAACTCATATGAAAATTTGTAGTCATTTACTAAATAAATCTATTATGTTTTTATTGCTCTAATTGATCCCATGTAGGATCATACATTTCTTGTTCTCTAACCATGTTTTAGGGATTATAAACCTAATTATAGTATATGAACTATTACATGTAAGATATACGTAGCAAAAGATTTTTTTGATAACTAAGTTTTTAATTTATGTCAAAAGTACTTACATATAATCTAAACTATCACAATTTCAGTTTCAGTCCCACTATCAATCATCTCAAAATCAACTGTAGAAAGTGTGTTCACTTTTTTTTTTTTTTTTGCAAAAGTATAAATATTAGTAGACAAAGTGTTGCACATATATTTTTTATTGAACTTATCTTAAGAAAGGCTCCAACTTCTCACAATTTAGGACATGTAATGTTGTAGTAGGCATTTCTTTTTATTTAAGAATCTTGATACACACATTGGATGCTCTATCTGATAGTTAAAAAACGAATAAGGTTGATTGATTTCGAATGTCCTCATCTTTAAGACCACTTCTAATTTAGCTACACTATATATGTGTTTTGAGTAGCATGAGTTAAAATGATAGATTTTCTGTGTTAGGTATGCCTCACAAGTAGATCTGCATGAGCTTTATTTATTACAATTTGATTTTATTGATAAATTTGCAGTTAAATGTAATACATATAATGCATTTTTAAGGTCAAAGTGATAATTTTCATATTTACCTCTCTAATGTATACATCCAATGATATTAGACCAGATTGGCAACTCTCATCTTATAAGACTAGTGCATTTGGTAGAAAGCATACTATACATCAAATGTTATTGTTGAATTCTAATTTCCATAATCTACAATTAAAAGAATATAATTCAATTTCAATAGTTGAATGTGCGTTTTAAATCCAAAACCCCTAAACCTGAACCCCAAACACTCATAGCCTATTCTCGAAACCTCATGAAACCCAAACACTTATAACCTATTCATTGGTTAGGGAGGTGAGCTCATTAAGGTCAACACCTAATAAAACTTATGTGATGCTGTGATCACAATGACTTTAACTTATAAATTCAAAGAACAAACACTGTAACATAAGCAAAGTAAAAAAACTTCAAACATAAGCATCCATAAATTATTAACACATGCAAATAAAATAGTCATTCAAATTTAAGAATCTCACATAAATAATAAGTTTTACACTTGTAAGTAAATCATAGTCTTTCCACAACTTCTCTTCTCCCACAAAATCCTAAACTCTAATTCTCCCATCACATCGTCTTCTCCCTTCCATTACTTTAAAATAAATCAAACTTCACAAATCCCATACAAATATGTTCTAACAAGTCCACATCATCTCCTAATTCTTCTACTTTTTTTATTATCACCCTAAACTAATTCATGAAATGACTACTTATGGGCTATGGCCATTGTGTTAGAATAGTTTTTGGTTTTTCTTGAAGAGTAGAATGAATGTGGGGCAGGCGGGACGAGAGAATGCCTCAAGCTTAAGAGGCGCGATGAGCCATTGTTGGAGTTGATGAGGGTTGGCGATGACATGTAATTGGTTTTGCAGAGGTTTAGTGGTTCCTATGAGTAACAATGATGGTGATTGTTATCAAAGTCCCAAGAGGCTAAAGTTGTGTCTACCTTGGAGGAGGGGAGAGGGAGAGGGGAGATAACAAAAATGAGGTGCTCGCATATAGATGGTGGATTCATTGTGATTATTGAATGTTTTCTGGCAGAAAACCACCCGACGTTTCAAATATCTATGAATTTTCTACTAGAAATATGTTGGTACCTTTCGAGAAAGTTTTGCGACACTTGTAGTCCATGAATTCTCCATTGGAAATTCATTGGAATATGGGCGAAAAAAAATCTACAAGTTTTCGTGTAGCAAAAATTTAATCTCATAACTCAATATTGTTCCTATTGTTAACCTTTATAATATTGAATAATTTATAATGTTCTTTAATATGCTTTGTTTTTTTTGTTTACCATTTATCTAAAAAATTTGTAATCTTATTATAATATTCACAAAATTTTATTTTTAATTCAACTTTCTTACAATCCATATGACAAATCTAATATTAGATTTAACGTAGTCAAACCCCTTACTTTCTTTTCATCCTAATCGGGTTACTTGTGGTTCTAGCTTAATTTTTACCATAACCATGTTTTGTTGTGCATCACTTATAGATGATTTTCTAGCCCACCTTGACCTACTTTTTGCGATAGGGTTAGATCTAGGTGCAATTAAGACAAATTCACACACACATCATATACGTAAGACTCGAACCCAAGGCCTTTTGGTTGGTAGCTAAAGCTCCCAACCAACAATCAAGGTGAGCTACGTAATAATGATAATACTAATAAATAAAAGAAAAAATGATGGTGATAAAAAGTTACTTCCTAATGAACAAAGAGATTGCAACATTTGTGCTTGGTCACATGGTGGCCCGAATCAACTCAAATAAAATCCAAGGAAATTCAACTGCTACATGCAGGCTTTGGCCTAACCACATCAATAAGCTCAATGATGCTTATGGTTGAAGGATAAGTTGACTCTAACAATAATTAATTTGAATAACCAATCTATGTATGGGGGAGTAGAATTCCCATGAGGTATGAACTTTAAATGATTGAACTTGCATCCATTCGGATTGTTTTTAGTTAAAATGATTGAAGTTGTTGTTATTGCTGGAAGGATCTTAAATACATGCAATTTAATCCATTAAAATTAATTTATTTTATATGATAATATCAATGAACTCAAAATGGATTGTACATATATTGTCTAATTCTGCGATGAAATATAATATAATGTGTCACATCAATCAATGATGAAACGTAATAGAGATGGACAATCTAATCAAACATACTTTTTATCAACACCCTCTTGGATCTTACCAATCATGATTGAGTTGAAAATTAGCATCTTCCCAAATTGTCATTAACTTGCTATTTATAAAACTAATTATGCATAATTAATACTATTTAATTAAACTAAATTACATATAAAATTAAAATTTCTATTACTATATTTTTGACTAATTAATATTAAATATTGGCATAAATTTAATATTTCAATTAGTATTATCTTATTTAATTAATGCCAATAATATTAATAATTTTAAATTTCCAAACTCTCGTCTTTCTTCTTGGAATCCCATCCCCCAAATTGCCAAAATCCTAGACGACAAAGAAGCAAGAAGACACAAGAGTGTTTGCTGGAGAAGACATTGATGCAAGCAACAAAATGTAGAAGAAAAGGACCAAGACCCTCGATGATGAAGAAGCCAAGAAGTTTCTACGGGAGCTTGTTGTAGCAGTCATCGACAGGAGAATTGTTTGTGAGACTTGTGGGTTTGTTAATTCCACCCAATACCCATATTTACTAAATCCACAATTTAGGAAAAACAAAGAAGAAAAAAGATTTTAAGTTTCTATAGGATTTAAAAAGGAACAATAACTATACATTTTAATTTTTATTAAAATTCCCTCTTATACTATGGCAGCCAACTTCTTACTTTTCGTAAGTTAAATAGTGAATTTAATAGGAGTTTATTTTGGATCAATTTTTAATAATCAAAAGACCAAATTGGATACTTTGATGCTCTTGGACTAAATTGGCTAATGAGTAATAATCGGGAGATTATAATTTTTTTATAAACAATAATTCATTAGGGCTTTGGGTATTTTTTGGTGAAACCCTAACTTCATAACGTAATCATTCTTCTTTCTAGGATATTCATTTTCATCAACCTCTTGAATTTTTATGGTCTTTTTATATCCTGTAATTGTCTTTCCGCATACAAACGAGTGCCATGTGTACAAAAGTTTCAATTTGTCAAAATACCTTGATGTGGCTCCTATTTCTCATGTGTTGGTTAATTAATGCAAAAGCAAAGAAGTTTGAGAACGAGAGTAAGAGGTATAGCTGTTGTTACCTTTTATCTAGAAAATTGCGACTACTTTTGCTATAAGCCCCTACGTTATATTCTTACCTGTAGCACCCGCTAGGGACTCTGCGTTAAGCTTATTGAGGAAGAGGCAAATGATCCTTTAACTCTCAAAGCACTGACAGGTCATTTAATATGAGATTTCAGTTAAATGTTTAAGACCAAAAATTGAAGAGTGTATAATTGCCTATTAAAATCGCTTGGAATGATTTGACTTGGTATGAATTTGATGAAGTTAATAATAAGAAACTAATGATGTTGTACTAAACCTAATTGTTTATCTTCAGGAGATTAAAAAGATTGAAGTTGTCTCTACTTTTTATAGGTGTTTATGCTGGTGATCCTTCTAAACTTAGCATGAAAGCAGCTTTTGGGAGAGTTTGGAGGCTGGAGCAGAGTGGTGGTAGCATCATTGGTGGAACTCTTAAAGCACTTCAGGAGAGGAATAAAAATCCCAAACCATCTCGAGATCCGTAAGGCTATTTACATGGCAGGATAATCTTATTTTAGCTGGTTTGATTGGCTAATCAGGATTGGCATGGACCTAAGTGCAGGAGTTTGCCTAAACCAAAAGGACAGACAGTTGGATCTTTCATGAAAGGGCTTTCTATGTTGCCGAATGCTATTTCCTTAAGGTAATTTTGTTTGTAATACCAGCATGAAATGTTTTGTATCATTGAAATAATTAAACAAGGATTTCTAGTAAAAATAGATTTTTTCTTATTGTAAACTTTTTAGTTACATCAACCCCTACTAAAGCCCTATATCATTGGGAGCTCATGCACGAATGCACCTTTTTTGCTCGATAAAATATAACATCCCTGAACTTCCTTCTTTAAATTGTTTTTTCAGTACTCCTAGTTTTAACCATCAAGATTCTACTTATGCTGCAAAAATATGTTAAGAATGTAACTGTCTACAGTTTCTGGCGCTGACCCCACGTAGTGGGACAAAGGCTTGTTGTTGTTGTAAAAAAAAGGAAAAATATTTAGGCATGAATGTCAAACTTGCAAGGGCACAATGAAGACACTGTTGCCAATTTTTGCACACTGGGTGCTTTTGTAAGAGATTTGAACTCTCTTCTTTATGTGGAAGTCAAAAGCAATGGCATCTATTTCAGCATTTGTTTTTTTTTTTTCATTTTTTTGTTTGTCGTGATGAGGTTTTTTTTTTAAAAGACTTTTAAGTATTTGCTACTGTGGGTTTTGTAGTTTATATGCTTAAAGTTTTGATATCATTTGAGTATGGTTTTACTATATTTTTTATCATATTTGATTTCGAAGGCTATTGTGCATATGATTGGTTTTTTTTTTGTATATTTAATCATATAAATTATGTACTTTTTAGTTGTGTCTAGCCAATGTTTGCCTTATATTTTTAAAGAATTTTTTTGTTCCATATCTTTGTTGTCTGTCTCCTTGTGTATGTCCAATGCATTTGAGGATGTTATGCTTAGCAAAATTTATTTTTCCACATGCCAGTTCAATAGCCCTAATATTTTGAAACATTCTTTTTCAGGTTGGGAAACAAAGTCAAACTATCTTGGAACCTTATTAGCATTAAAAAACGGGATGGCTTGGGGTACACCTTAATGTATGAAACACAGGAAGGATTGGTATCAGTTGATACAAAGACTGTCGTCCTAACCATTCCCTCTTATGCCGCCAGTTCTTTGTTGCACCCTCTTTCCGTGAGTTTCATTTATATCGTCTTGAAATTTTGGGATTGTGTGTTATTAAATCATGTAGACATATTTTTCTTCTCTTCTTATCTTTTTTTAAAGGTACTTCAGCATCTGATCATATAAATTTTGCCACTTCTGATTAATCCTTCAGCCCGAAATAGCAAGTAATCTTAATGCATTGCCTCTCTCATTAGATTACCTTGAAGAGATTGCCGTTTGTCAATATATTTGTTATCCCCATGATATAGGACAATTTAAGGTTAGATTTTTTGAAGTTGAGAATCAACAAATCACAAATCATCAATAAATTTAACTATTTTTTTAAATGTAAACAAATGAATGCAAAACAAGTAGGGTTGTTTCATGCAAAATGGAAAATTTTCTTTTATGAATAGTTTTCTAAATTGGAAGGTATAAAGTTGCCGCCGCCATCATCATCATGTAATGAGTTAATTATGATCAACATCAAAATTAAGGCATGGAGAAAATTCATTCAGCCAAAATAATCTATTTATGATAATAAATCATCATAATTAAAAGTAGAAAAAATGTGTTATTTTCATTGAAGTTGACATACATTTAAGCATCATGGAAGCCACTATATGGCTCCTTTCTTTTTAAATGGGCTTGGTTGATTTGTGCATGCATGGTTGTCCTTCCCTCTACCTCCGCCTTCCATGAAAGTTCCAATGCAATAAAAGAGAGTATAAATGGTTGAGTAATTTTTAGAGGGAATCAAGGAATTAACTAATTAAAGAATGTAGTCAAGTGTCCACGGATCAATAAAGTGGCCATCTTGTACTAGAAATTTATGTATTTTTTATTTCATGGAAGTATACTGGAGATGTTATAAATATGCTATAGCTTTGTCGTTAAAAACAAACTTGGTTGATTTATGTTGGAGCGTTGCTTATATGCAATGTAAAGGATAATGCTTGGTGGTTCTCTCTTTTATGGAGATGTTGGTGAGTCTTCCATTAAAATTATTTTTGTAACCTTTAATATTAATTTATATTTATCTCTTACCATTTTAGAAAAACTCCAATAACAAAATCTTAATTTGAAAAAAATTGTTTGAACATGAAAATAAACACTGAAGAAGAAATGCTAAATAAGCAAATAAAAAATTTTTGGTTTAGAAAGCCCAAAAACAAAATCCAAGGTTACTATCAAGAGCAGTTGTGGAGAAGAGAGATCCTTAATCATTGTTGAAGAAGAAGGCTTGGTAGGAAGGAAGAAGATGGCTAGTAACTAGAAAGGAAGCGGTGAGGAAGGGATGATCGGGTGGAACATGTGGGCTGAGATGATCGATACGTTGGAAGGTCTGGACGTTGCTTTTCTAAATGCAATAGAGACCGAGAGATAGAGAAGGGCTTGGTGGGTTAATGGTAAAAGGGATTATTTTTAAATACCTAAATCTTCAATACTTTGATGCTCTCGCCTCACGAAGATTGAGGTGAGGTGTGCTTTACTGCACTTGCCTATATATATATATATATATAATAACACCTAAACTTAAGTACTTAATTAACCGTTAATGAATACATATTATTGTAACATTTAGTTCCTTCCACTAACGGAGCCATGCATTGGCTGATCAAATGCCATTTCCATCCCATGTCTGGAAGTGACGAAAGGAGTTCTTCGTGGAGTTTTTTAGTGGAGTATTAATAAGGTTATAATATTAAGTTAAGTAAAAGTACTTCCTCTGGAGTTTGAAGCAGCCGTGCGCAAGTAGTGAGGAAGGAGGTGGAAGGGCTGCAGTTGCTGGGAGTGGAAAATGTCAAAAAACAGTAAGGTAATAAAGGAAAGGGAAGGAAAGGAAGTAGGGGAAAGAGGTTTAGGAGAGGAAGGGAGGTTGAATTGAATGTCATATTTATTTGATGTAAAATTTAGGATTTTATTTTTAGAACTGATTTTATTAAAATTCTTGTATGCTACAATGTATGTTTTGCAATGTATTATTTAGGTTGTATATAAAAGGAAAGGAGGCCTAGGTGATCACTCTAGAGAACGAGGTGAGATACCCAACTGGAGTATATGAAATAGTAACTTTTTTATATACTTGTGACAACATTTTTATATGATTGTGATAACATTAATTTCAATTTCATCATATATTTATTTACTGGTTTATCAGCTTAGTTACGAGATATTTATATGTACGTTATGAAAAATGTGAAGCTTCATAAAAGATAAATGAAAAGGAAAATGAGATAAGTCATATACGGTGGATAGACTTGCACAAGTAAAGGCGAAAGACCTGACGTGGTAAGCCTTAGGGACCATACAAGAGGTACCTAGGGGTGCAACCAAGTTAAGCCGGTTCACGAGCTGACTTGAGCTCGACGCGGTAACAGGTTCGACAAGTCAAGCTTATCGAGCTCGAACACAAATTCGAGCTCGAACAACCCACTGCTCGACTCGCGAGCTTGTCGAGCGGCTCGCGTATGAAATAGGTAGTGTGGAAATGCGATCGTGCGCGAGAAAATGAAATCGTGGACGGGAAAAGCTTGTGACAACGCAAGCTGGCAATGACAGACAGAAGCTCGACGGATGCAGACGGTCGACGACGCAAGCTTGATGGACTCGGGATGGTTGACGATGCAAACTCGACAGATGCGTACGATCGATGCCGCAAGCTCGGCGGATGCAAATGATCGATGACTCAAGCTTGACGGACGCAGACGAAAGATCGAAATGCAGTCGGTCGATGACACAAGCTCGACGGACTCGAACGTTCAACGACGCAAGCTTGACAGACACGGACGATCGACAATGCAAACTCGATGGATGCAAACGGAGACTTGACAGGCAGAAGCTCGACGACACAAGCTGGCGACAAGGCGGACGCTGGTGACGAGGATGACAGAAGCTGAATGGACGAACTGAGCTCGAAATGCCGCTCGAGCAGCTTGACGAGCTTTTTTTCCTCTGTCGAGTCGAGCTCGAGCTCAACTCGAGTTCGAGCTCGAGCTCGGTATTTGACAGTCAAGCTCGACTTGAACACCCTCCGACTCAAGATCGACTCGACTCGTTTACACCCTTAGATGTACCTGACTCTCACTTCTAAAAGTTGTGAATTCGGACCCAACCTTGAATGAGAGAGCTGTAAGTGTGCAAAAATTTATAGTCATCATATGACTTGCCTAAAATAATAAACAATAAACAGCCCAAGGAATATGTGGAAGGTTTTACAGTGTTTGACGTTGTCATGCATATGTTATTTATACCGTTTTATGATTCATACATAAATTCAATTTTTTTTTTTATTTACATAAATTTAGATATCATTTACAATTGAATGCAAAAAATTATGTTTTTTTTTTCTTATATTATGGTTGTGCATTTCATTGACCTTTAACTCATTAACAATGATTGTATTCCAGTGTGGCTCTAAGTAGAAGGTTAACTGTACTTTTGTGTACATACATTTTGGTTGTGCATAAAAGCCAGAGTATGAAGCTGTATAGTCAGACTTTTGGGTATATAAATTTTATTTAACAAGTTTATTAAGCTCTGTATTGTATTTGATGTGTTTTAATTATACTTTCAGTTACAAAATATTGATTCCAGTTATGAATTAGTGAGATAGAATCTTAAAGCTTGAACAACTTGATGTGTTGGGATAGCTTGGATTGGCTATTTCTTGCTTACTTGATTCTAATAGAAGTATTTCAGAATGGATGTTAGTAAATGATATGTTTAATTTGATTCTCTCTCTCTCTCTCTCTGTGTTACACTCCAGGTTGACTAAAGGAGGTCAAAATGTGGTGTGACATAAATTGGTATTAGAACTAAATCAAATCAAATTGAAGTGTTATTAGATTTAGAAATGAAGTAGGATAAGATAAAATGAATTTTATTTATACAAAGCTATAGGTTGTATTGAGGTTGAACTGAACTATACATTCATTCTAATAGAGCTGAACTAGCATACATGCATAACATGATTTAGTTTTTTTTTTTAAATGATCACATGTATTATATAAATTATATACATGCATATTTTCAGATAAATATGCCTAAGGAATTTCCAAAAAAGAACAACTGACCACTCATCCAGGCTAGATATAGAAACAAAAAGATATATTGAAAGTTCCGATAGAAGCGGAATGAATGAGGGGAATAAGTCTAATAAACTTCATGATATTGTGCATTTGATCTCTCAAGTAGTGGATAAAATGATATCTATGGAGAAATCTTTTACCAGCATTGGACCTAAATTTGAATTTGGTAGTTAAGTGAATCAACATTTGAAATTATTTCGGACTTTTAAAACGCCAACATTCAAAGGTGCAAGTGATCCAATAGTAGCTGAAGATTGTTTGTTGAAGATATGGAAATCTTGGATGGTATGATTTGTCCTGAGAATAGGAGGGTAGTGTTGGCCGCATTTGTTCTGGAAGGAGAGGTTGAAAGATTGTGGCAAACGCTTTATAGAGAGAAATTTGGACTGATGCCTATCACCACCATGCCTATCAGCATCTGTGAGGGTTATTCAGAGACTAGTTTATTCTTTCTTTAGCCAGACTAGCTCTGCAAGACAAATTCTTCAACCTGACTTAGGGTTCAAAAACAATTATGCAATTTTAAAGCGGAGTTTATTTCCTTATCCCGTTATGCATTTAATTATGCTAGCACTCATGATAAAAAATGCCACATTTTTTAGAGGCCTCATGTAATACCCAAAATTTTCAAAAATAAATGTAAGCGCATACTTCTTCTAAATATTCATTTATTTCATTAAATTCTACTGTTAAAAAAATAATTTCAACTTTTCAATAAATAGTTAATAGGCAATTAACTGCACAGTTATTTAATATAGTTTAATATAGTTTAATACATGCTGCAGTAAAGCATTTAGCCAAGGCTTGATTAGATCCTATGGATGGGAACAACTAGATAGCGTTAATGGATTTAGGTTAATATATATTAAATTGATAGTGAAAGATAGGGTAGCAGGTATCAAATAATTATATTAAGCTTTTGTTTCAAGCCCTTTC